CAATGATGTGCAGAATACTGATTACTTAGAAATTTTGGCAGATTTCACTGGATGCCATATGAAAACAATGTAGCACTTCAAGTAGTCATGAATAATATCACTGATATTGCAGCCACATTAATTTTTTGTTGGATTTTTCTACACCGGACATCAAGAAAACTAGTCATTCAATGTTTTGACGTAAAATGTTTAATGATTTCTTAAATTAGGATTCAAAAGATTTGAATAAAAAAAAAAAAAATAGCTCTAAGTTTTGAATACTGGAATTTAAAATCTTTTTGAAAATTCCCAAGATCTGAGGATTCAAATGCTTCAACCTCAGGAAATGTAAAATGTGACTTATAATCCAGTTCACATCTAATGAATGAATTCAGTTATTTTAAGTTAGATTTGACTTTAGTATGTTAGTTTGCACATTAATTTTGTACAAAAACAAATTATTAACTTCTATGCAAAAGCCTAAAGAAGTCAATAGTTTATTTTAAATAAATTTTTCTTTCTCAATTAAGAGTTTCTCTGCAGTAAGTGCAATTCTGTATCACTTATTTTATTCTTTCTAAAAAACTGTGTATGAATTAGAGATAAAAAAATGCTAGCTTCGTTTTTAAAATTAATGATTTTTTTCTAAATTCAAATGAAAAACTATTCACATAATTAAAATTATAAAGATCAATACATATGCTTCTGATTCAGTTTACTTCTTCTAAAACCAAACAATAATAAATGAAGGGAAATAAAGGACACAGAAGAAAATGTTTGGTTTTTCTACTTGAAAGAAGAATGTCCAGCTGTATAATAGAATAGTTTCAAATTTATATATAGTTGGAACATACTTTTCTAAACATAAAACAGGAGATAAAATATTTTTTGTTTACATTTATATGCAGTCACATTAATTACATAAAAATTGCAAATTCTCATTACTCTACTTCAAGTTTATTTTTATTCAAAATCTGTCTCATAATTTCTGAAACAGTATGGATTTGCAGCTCTTGGAAAATTCAGTTGCAGTTAGTTCTCAAACTTTCATGAAATCCATCATATGACTCCTGTCTTCATGAAGTTTGGTCACCCCACTATATATAATGGTCCTTATAACTTAAATAAATAAAAAATCAAAAAATATAATACTACATGAACAATTTAAGATCATTTGGAAAATTATGAGCTAAAATGCAAGTTTCAAAATGGCACATTAATTAAGAAGTTAACTTTTTGTCAGTAAGTTAAACCTTTGAAAAACAGCCATAACTGAACGTCAGAATGCACCATGCAAAATGCAGAGTTTACGAATTATAATATGGATGTTTCAGGAAAAATTTAGATATTTTATATTATGCTTCCATACCATTGTCTTCATAGCTTGGCAAAATGCCACTTCTTGTGGCAGAAGATTATAAATTACTTCTTAAGTTATAAAAGTATATACTATGTGTAGTCCAGAAATATCAGTGAATTAAAAATAATACACACACTTCTCAATAGCTTTTACCTTTCTTTCAGTTTTTACTAATAGCCGACCAGCTATAATTTGTCTATTTGATATCATTTTATGAATATTTATACCATTAGTGTAGTTCATATAATGTAGTCTAACAGCATATATCATACACTCAGCTGCAGAATTTTTTTAAGTAAGCACTATTTTCTACTAGTGGCATGCTCCAGGTTTTGCTCACTTTTTGTAGTTGTGCTGTCTTAGTGAATATGGAAAATGTGCCACTGCCATTTCTATGACTTCCGCACAACATTAGTGAACTTTAGAATCAAATCATAATCTGTACAGCAGAAATCAAATAATATATCTCTCAGCTAAGTCAAAACCCCATTCCTGGCTCTGTTGTAGTTGTGACTTATCTCGCTTCTCTGACAGTAACATCAGAACAAGCCCATGAAATACATAGCGGAAAGAAAAGTAAGACTGCGCCTGTTGTTGGCAAGAGCCTTCAGCACTATACAGGTGACATTACGACTTTGTTAACTTTTGCCCCCCCCCATTCGATGGAAAGCACCCCAGGAGGATGGATTAAAAGGTCTCTCTCCTCTCTTCCCCCACCAACCTCTCGAGATGACTTTCGGCTTGCTGTATATTTAGTGTCTCCATGCCACACAGACACTACACATTTACAAACATCCCTGCCTTCTTCAAGATTTGAACACGGACCCTTTGGTATGGCAGTCAGTTCTGCTAACCAATATCCCGATTGGATGGCTAATTCATGGCTTTAAAGTCATTGTGTTAATGTTTTCTCAGTACGAGTGCTAATAAGAAGACTGCTGCACTACTTTTATACTTAAAAACAAGTGGTCTTTCAAATAATTTTCTTGAATCCTATTCATTAATTATCATCAGTCTAAACAGTCATTCAGCTAAATGTTTTAATGAGAAAGGCCAAAGTTTTGAGGAATGTCAGTAATTTTTAAAATGTACAGTGTCAAGCTAGCAAGTTATGTATTTTTTTATATGTATGCACTTGTTTCTAATGACATAACTAAATTTCATAAATAATTTATGAAATGACAACAAGAGCAGTGTATGCAATTACAGTTTATAACGTTCCAAAATTTAAAACATTCCATCCTTCAACAATTGGGACATTAAGCAATTCTTTCTTTCTAAATATGTGTAATATTTGTCAATCATAAATCTGTAATGCCAGCTCTATTCATTTGTGACCACTGCAGTGCATAACTGGAATATGAGCTGAGCTCATCGATGACATCAAAAGGTTAACAACATAAAACCTGGGTTTAAATACAGAGGCTGTTCCCACAATTTTTAGACAATTTTGGTAAGCGGTAATAAAAATTCGTTTGCTGCAAAAGAAGTAATTGCAATTGTACTATGTTTTTAAAAGTCAAAATTATCATCTGTGGCCTTGAAAGTTTTGTTTTTATACAAAATGGCCAATTTAACAAAGCAGTGGTTCGAAGGCTACATTTACTCTCTTTCCGAAGAGAAATATGCATACTCCGTTATGCATACTCCGTTATTATAGGTCCTTGTTATAAGATTTCAATTAATTACAACAGTATTCTAATTTTCAAAACTTCAACACCTTTGTCGGATCAGTGATATTTAACTTGCTTAAACCAGTTACCGAGCGCAGGCACCAACTCTCAGTGTCTACTTCAAAATTACAGCAGGAAAGCTTAGTCCGATTGGTATAGCGGTTAGCGATGCTGCTGCTGTATCGTTAGGCCGAGCCGCCAACGCTTGGTATTCGCTAGAAGGAAAGTTCACTCAGATTGGTACAGGTTTAGCGATGCTGACTGCAATATTGCTGGGCCCTTGTAACTTATGTAAATTTGTAAATTTCTTACTAAGGCTAAAAAAAAAATATACATACCACTGGAAATTTATAATTTCCTTATCAATGCTCAAATAACGATATACAGAGGCTGTTCGCACATTTTTTAGATGATTTTGGTAAGCGGTAATAAAAATTTGTTTGCTGCGAAAGAAGTAATTGCAATTGTACTATGTTTTTAAAAGTCAAAGTTATCGTCTGTGGTTTGAAAGTTTTGTTTTTATTCAAAATGGCGAATTTAACAGCGCAGTGGTTCGAAGGCTACATTTACTCTCTTTCCGAAGAGAAATATGCATACTCCGTTATCCAAAAACGATGTGAGAGTCATGGTTTTGTGATATCTAAAGCGTCGATAGGTAATATCATCAACAAGAAAGGAAAAAAAAAAACGTAAAATTGAAGCCACAAGTGGGACAAAAATTCCAAACAAGTATCCAAGGAAAAAACGAAAAAAAAAAAAAAAAAAAAAAAAAAAAAAAAAAAAAAACGGACATCTCCCACTATTGCAAAGGCATGTTGTTTAATGTTAAAAGAAAATCCCCCTAGTCAAAGGGCACTTGCAAAATCATTCAAATGATCGGTGTCCACTGTAAACAAATGATAAACATTGATTTAAATCTTAAGAAAGCGAAAAAAACGCAATGTGTATCGTCTTCTTCCAAAGCATATCGCTCAACGTAGGACACGCTGCAGAATTCTATATGAGAAACACTTATCCAAAGAAAAAAAAAAATGGAAAACGATTGTCACAATAGATGAATGAAGCATGGGTGTATTTAAATGATTGTAACAAAAAACAGCCATTTATTATCATAAAAAGGGGAGAAAAAAATTAAGTACATGGTTCAAAGAATCGAAAGAAAGTTTTTTCTAAGGGATTCATGATTGTTGCTGGTTTTTTTTTTCTTATAATGGCAAGTTAAAATAAAGAGAGTGCAAAAAAATGTCAAGATTAACTCCAAATACTATCAGGAACATATTTCATCGCCAATTGTTCTGAATGAAAATACTATCGCTTTACCCACAGTGCCATCCAATCTGTGAGACTCCATCAGGACAGAAGCTAGCAGTCACGCATCAAAATCCACTGTAAATTTCCTAAACGAAATGGAACAAAAAACTGGCATCAAAGCCCTACCCTTCACTTGATATCCCTACTAAATCTCCCGATGCTGCATTGATATCCCTACTGCATTGGTATCCCTACCTATGGATTTTTGTGCTTTCGGACTTTTAAAACTGCATTATCCAAACGTTGTCCCCAAACCCTAACAGGAGTCTGGAAAACTGTTCGGGAGGAATGGGATAGGAATGGGATAGATTCTTCTGCCACTTCAAAAGGCATCCTGGAAAATTATTATCCTGGAAATTGTCGAAAGATAGTTCAGAGTAAGGGATGTCAAATAGAACATTTAAAACACAAGAATTTTATGTAATTTCGTTTTGTGAATACAATATACATCATCTAAAAATGTGTGAACAGCCTCTGTATAGTCAGACTATTTTACAAATCTTTTAAGGATGGCTATATTGTAATCTTAACTTTCTAAGTACTAGTTACAAGCTATTTATCACTTTTACTTTGTGCAAGGTAAATTAGAATTTTTAAAGCCATCAATCATTATAAATTTAAATTTCTGGAATTAAATATGAAATTAAAAAAATATATTAACTGAATTTTTAACACACCTGAAGTCCAGGTCGACGTGCTGATGGAGGAGTTGCAGATCCATTCAAAACAGGAACAGTAGAAAGCCTGTGACGCTGAACAAGCTCATCGGCAGGAGGATCTGTCCAAAAATGATCTTGCGTTTTCATTTTTGAATAATCCAAAGCACATGGACCAACTATTAAAATATACAACATAGTGATTGGAAAATGAATTTTACCTTTTACAGGAAAACACAAAAACTAAAAGTCTATTTATGTATACAAATAATTATCACAATTTTTTTTTCTCTAAAGAGCTGATATTATTTCACAAGAACATGCATATAATTTTGTAGAATATCAGCATTGGTCATATATATGTAACAGATTTAGCAATATCAGATTAGTGATAGTTTAATGTGTTGTAATAACTTAAAAAGATTTTACTGAATAGACAGAGTGATAACACTTGCAGATTGAATGATGAACTTGTAGACAGAATGATGACATTCAGATGTAGCCATCGATTCAACACATTTTTGTTTTGGTTAAAGAAATTCTGGAGAAAAATATCTGACCTACGTCATTATGGATACAATACACACAACAGTACACACAATACATACAACAGTGTAAGTTTAGCACACTCTATGACAATAGATGATACAGAGGAGTGAGTGATAGGGCTAGCTGGCCTGTGAAAAGCAAGCAAAAAAGTGATGCATTCAAAAGAAAGCATGGAAGGTAGGATAAAAAAGGTTTCGGTTTTCAACTGAAATCTAATGCAGCATTATGTAAGGTCTTACCATGAAGATTACTTTTGAAATGGCATAATTTAGACTGATATATTATAAATAGTTATTTTAAGACAGATTTAGTTTTCAATAAAAATGTAATTCAGTTAATAGATAAGTGGTGCCTGCATTGTGGCATTACATAAGAGCTTATGATGCAGTTTAATTTTAAAATGCTGCAGTTTAGATTGATATATTATAAATAGCTACTATTTTTCAGATAAAAAGAAGTACCCAAATTAAAATGATAGATCAGACGGGCTACTGTCAATTAAAATTAGAAGTTTGTTTTCCTATTTTTATCTTACATATATATACATTGTTGTATGCATACAGGTTCGCAATAGATTGAATGCAGACAGGCCCGGTGATACAAAAGAAACACTTCAGAGATCTGGAACTTCCCACAGAATTAGTTGCACAACTCTTCACAATATCGCAGAGTACAATCAGTAGTTACACTTCATACTACTATGAATGTTACACACAACACGATGCAAAACTGACCCGGAAATATATCAGTATTTCAATTCCCACAGTGAACTGCCAACTCGCAGCAACAACTGAGAGCAGATGCTCTCTCCAACCTTACATAGTTTTCACTGCCCACCGAGATATTTCTAGTAATTTCTGCTTCTCAAAATTACTGGAAGGCAATATAAGGGTTGAATTACAGGTACAGCTAATATAATCATCAATTACATTTATTTAATTACAATACCTACTATGGTCATACAGGCGCTGGATAAAAATGTCAGTGAATGATCGCCAAGTTTGGCGACTTTTGGCAATTTCTTGCTGAATTTGGCACTAAAAATTAGTTGCCAGCTTGGAGAGATATCACCAAATTATCGAGATATCTGTTTACTCAATGTTAAATAGACTTGCCTCTGTATTCTTACTCCTCCAGCATAAACAGATTTTATGTTAAATATATGCACAGTTTTTGCTCAATTTTAAAAAGACTTGCCCCTGTAGTCTTACTTCTAAAGCATAGGTAGTCTCTTTAGATTTTTCGTATAGCATTATATAAAAGAAATGAAAAAATTTTACTTATAATTCCATTAAAATTACCTATCTAAGTACAAAATTTATAACACTGTCTCCTTCCCAAGGACTGCACTTCCCGGGCGGTACAATCCCTGGACAGGAAGCCACACTTACAACTAAGGCAAATCAATGCAATACTTAAACAATAATTTCAGTAAATAACACAAAACAAGTCAAATACTAAATCGATAAATGAATTCCCAAATCCTATCACCTTTGCTGAAACAATGTTCTGTAGCTCTATTGTATCGGATCTTCATCTTCTACATCGCTAAGTTGACTCACTCTCAAGCAAAATTGGGCATTACTTCAAAACATGCCTGGAGATTTGGGATGTACTCATGAGGCAATGAAGGTGCATCCGGAGGGCGACTAAACAAGAGATCACAAGACAGATGAAGGTCCCGACCGAAGAACATCTGTGATGGGGAGTAGCGGCAGTCTCGTGGGCAGCACTGCAATAGGCCAGTAAAAACAGTGGTAACTTATTGTCCCAGTCCTTTTGGTTTCTGGAAACCACAGTGAGGGGTTATTAAGGATGGTTCAATTAAATATTTCTATCATGCCATCTAATTAGGGATGTTCTTTTGAGTACTGTTAATACCAAATAGCTTGCAAAGTTCCTTAATACAGCCGAAATAAAATTCCTCCCTTGATTAAACAGTAACTGAAAAGGCACTCAAACCTGGAAATTCAAAGCTGTATCATTACCTCTTAATCAGGAAAAGGGTACACTTCAGGCCACGTGGTGAAGTTCATGGCAGAGGTCCCAGGATGTCAAAGGTGATACATTCAAAAGGTGTTCCTAAATTGCAACTTTGTAACTTCCGTTGGCTGCATTTCTTCTGTCCTTTCTAATCCATACAGTCATGACAAGACTGGCGCCACTTTTGCATTGCTGCAGTAAAAATGCTCTCAGACTCTCTGCAAAGTCTTCATTATTCCAAAGTGGCTTCCTGTAGGGCTGCTATGTAGTTCTTTAAGGCAGTCTGGGATCTAGGATCTTGGCAATATCAACTGCCATTGGAAACCCTTTCCAACATCCGATTCGAATTTTTGGTAGAAGACACCATTTCAAATATGGAGTGAGTTCCAAAGAGCCAAGTATTGTTTTGTCACAGGACTACAGATCAAAATGCCCTGCCAGAAGGTTTCCTGTTTGAGGACTCCATTAATTCAATGATGGGTTTCATGTCACTGTCCTCCAACTGATCTCTCCTGATTTGTTCATTACTCCATGCATCTCAATCAGCCGATGTTGAAGTTATAACTTAACGTGTTTCCCTTTGATACTAGAACAATATCGGCAACTTTCTAGGCAGAGTCTTATATACAAGGAACCAGCATATTGATGACAGATAGTTATGAATTCAGAGGTTGAACACTGTTTGTTATTTTTCAAGTTACTTAGAAAGTCCAATCCAAGTATGCAAAGATTTATAATATCTGCCACATATGCCCTGTAACAGTAGGCGGCACTTCCAAACATGATTTAACTTCCCATTAATTTCGATTTAATCACCAAGCACACTCTGAAGGGTAATGCAGAATGGCATCCAAATGCACTCATCTTCAAACTATTGAGCTAAATCTTCCCAAATGATGGTAACGTTGACTCCTGTATCGATGGTCATACTGCAAGAAACTCCATTGATATGCCCCATGATGAAGAGTCCCTTGCTGCCACCATTCACCACAGAAATCTGAAGAGCTTTACAATTGGGGCTTCTCATTATCTTTCAAACTATGCATTGCGAGATAGCACCTAATTTATTTCTTGCGTTGTTGCTGGGGGATGGTCTTATTTTCCATGCCCTGTGACGTTCTGCAGTTCCTTCATACATTCCTTCAGCACCACATTTTCCAATATTTTAGTGTCAATTTCTTGTCACTTCTATTCTGTATGAAGGCACTGACTTGTCTGATTAAACTGACTAAATGAGTAGGCAGTTGATCCACTGGTTCTTGGACTTCAGCAGCTCTGGTGGGGTGGCGATCTCTATGAATTGCTTGTTGGGCTGCTCAAATTTCATGGTATATACTAGAGCGCATTTCAAATCCTTGACATTTGCCATTCAGAGACGTTTCTGTATTTCAGGATCCTGGATGCCGTCGATGACATACTGCACGGTCAGAATTTCCCTTGTTTCTGTTGGGCAGTCGAAAAAGGGGAAACGAGACAGCCTTTCATAATACAAGGAAAGCACCTGAATTGTTCCTGTGAGCTTCTGCTGAGAGGATTTTAACTGAAGCCTGCTATAATCTTTTAAATACTTCTCCAAAGTGCAACTCCAACGTGCCAGATACAATTTCGAAGCCTTTGGTTTTCAGGAAGAGTTTGAAGGTTATCCGCTGTGTCTGCTCTCAGAGAAGGGCCTTAGCTTAGGAATACCAACCATTCGTGTCCACCACTACAGAAAATTCTGTCCATTTGCCAGGTGGTCATCCCATCATATGTGGATAGCTTCAAAATGAGCGAGCAGGCAAGAGTAAAAATTTAAAACCATCAGAACTGCTCCCTGCCATCACTATGAATTTCTTTAAGGGATCAGCTTTGGTGGCCACAGAAAGCCCGTTATCAATTTATTGTTTGATTTGTAGTTAGAAGGCAAAAACCCTTTATTCACTTTGTTGCTCCACGGCAGACACTCTTTCCTGAAATTCTCCCCACTTGTCTGTGTCTGTTCTGTCTTCTATAGCTTTGAATTTGTTTTTTTATTGTGGGGGAGATTTCTCTTTTAATTTCCACTTGACCATCTTCAATCTTTTCTTGAACAGCTTTCATCACTTCAGCAGATTCTTGGCCCCCTTTCACCTATTCTTTAATAAATTCTTGGCCAGCTATCATCTCTTCTTGGACAAAGTTGACTGTGCCTTCCAGCTATTCTTGGAATGCAGCAAAGGCAGTCACTAACTGACTTAGTTGCTCCTTCATTGCTCTTGTCACAGGCATTCAATCCCACTTCTGACACCAAAAATGTTGCATGCATATAGGTTCATAATAGATTGAATGCACACAGATCCAGTTATAGGTTGATAAAATTTATTTCTATTAAAAGAAATACCTCAGAGAACTGGAACTTTCCACAGAATTAATTGTACAATTCTTCACAATATCACAAAGTAAAATCGGTAGTTACACTTCACATTAATATGAATGTTAAACACAACATAATGCAAAGCTAACCTGGAGATATTACAGTACTCTGATCTCATGGTGAATTGATATTCTGCTTCTTGAAATTTCTGGAAGGCAAAATGAGGGTCAAAATACAGTTACAGCTAATATAGTCATCAATTACATTTATTCAATTTTCTAGCATAGCTCGTCTCTTTAGATTTTTCATATTACA